AGAGAGAGAGAGAGAGAGAGATGGACGTGGGTTATGAAGAAGAGAGAGAGGGATGAGGAGGAGAGAGAGAGAAACTATATAATTAGGATACTTACCTATTCAAACCAACTTCTAGTATATATATAAATAATATAATAAGTTTTAGTTACTTTGCAAATAAATATATAAAGGTTGGAAACAAGGTTTCATTTAGCTTGAAGTCAATTAAAATACAAATTACTCAGGAAAATGGAAACCCTCGCGACTGCGACAGAAACTCTTGCGACTGCTACCGCCGGTATTCATCCGCCTGATCCCAAATTCGACCCGCCTGACAGGGGGGATCCAGATTTCCCTACTCTACAAGAGGCTAAACATGTTTTTTCAGAATCGTCACGATCCCTGAAACGAACCCGTACAGGGGAGTCCTCTTGTGAACTGACTGATGGCGTTAATTTGGAGTCACACAGGCCGCCGGTGCCTACCCCCCAGTTGAGCTTTCAGGATATGCTGAGTAGAAACTGGGATCATGTTGAGATGAGCTCGTGTGATGATGTGGACGAGAATCTGGACGATGATGTTACTATTGACTATAAATCGGATGGCCCGGATATCATGATGAAAGATACTTTCTATGATTCGCTGCTCACATCTTGGAAAAATGTGGTTATCGTCAAGGTCATGGGCACGACTATCAGTCCTCACCTTTCTATATTAAATTGATCGGTTTGTGGCCATTCATGTTGGGCTGTAGCATGATTGACTTGGAGAATGGCTATTTTCAAATCCGGTTTAACACGTACGAAGAAGCGGTGAAGGTGTTGGTGGGTGGACCCTGGATCATATCCAAGCAATTCAAGAAGTTCTATGTGCACGTGCAGCTGTAGACGGATGACTTTGATGAGTCGTGCAACCAGATTCGTTCGCTGGTTACATGGATTCGCCTACCGGGTATGTTGGTTCACCTATATCACACTAAGGTCTTTCGGGTTATCGGTAACATTGTTGGTAAAGTTGTTAAGATTGATCACCAAACCGCCTCTCAATCTAGGGGCAAGTTTGCTAGGCTGGCAGTTGTCCTCGACCTAACAAAACCAGTCTGCGCACGATTTCATATAAAGGAAAAACTTCAGCGTGTCGAATATGAGAATCTAATGGATATATGCTTCGAGTGTGGGAAGTATGGGCATGGTGCCTCAGCTTGACCTGATCGGCACAAGCCGGTTAATATGGATGAAACGGTGGAGGTCGACCCTCACGGTACTCGCCCCCAACCGAGCGGTCAGGTCTCAAGAAGTGAGAAAGTTGTCACTGAGTAAACGAATGTTCAAAGAGACAGGATTTATGGACCATGGTTATTGGCCAACAACAAAGGGAACTCCAGACAGGAGCGTACGTCACGTACTGCGCATAGACCAAAAAACGATTCTCCCGTTACCGGGTCTCGCTTTCATTTGCTATCAGACGACAATGGCGAAATAGATGACGCTCAGGCTAAAACCTCTCCTAATAACTCTTTCTCTTTCACTATGGGGGGATATAACCAGGCTAACTCGCATGTGGCGCATAGTTCTGAGACACCAAAGGATGGCTCATGGCGGGTAGTCGAGAGGAGGAAGAAGGATAAGGGTAAGGCGACTTCCGGAACTCAAACTCGGCCGACTTCAATTCTTAAGGCTCCGGTTATGTCTGGGGCTGTCAGTACTCGTCAGGAATCCATCACTCCGTCTCCAGATGGTAAAGGGGCCTTCAGTGGCCTAGGTTTGATACTGGGACTTCTTCTGAAGGGCATGGCGCGACCGCACAGAATCTTTCGGCTTCCACGGAGAGCGGGGCTCAGGCTCAGGTCGTGTTCGTGTCTGCGGGTAGTGGCCTAGACCCCAGGAAACACCAAATCGCCCAAATAGTTAAAAGACCACATCACCGGAATGATAAAAATTCTTCTGGACCGATTGGGGTTGACATACCTCCTACTTCAGCTATGGCTGTTGATTCGGAGACACCAAGACCTTTTGACGCCCTGCCGGAGGTCATGTGTGACGGTGGGGTTGATGAGGGTAATAGTGGAAGCAAGGATTCAGTGATGGTTGAGGATTCCACTCAGGACACGAGACGAGTGCCATACTCTCGCTTACATCGTTTTGTTTATGAAGATCGTTACGTGGAATGTACAGGGAGTAGGCTCGGTTGCTTTTCGTCAAGCCTTCTCTAATCTTATGGGTAAATATTCGCCGGATTTGGTGGTTGTCTTTGAACCACGTATCAGTGGTGATGCCGCTGATGTCTTTGTGAAACGTAGCGGGTTTGACTGTTCGCTCTGGGTGGAGACCAACGGTTTTTCCGGTGGCATTTGGCTGTTATGGCGTGATCGGGTGACTGTCACCGTTCTTTGTTGCCATCGTCAATTTATCCACACTTTAATTTAACTGGATAATATCAGCTTCCTGGCTACCTTTGTGTACGCTAGTCCGAACCCGCATATTAGGCGGAGTTTGTGGGGGGCTCTTCACAACGTTGCTTCATCGGATTTGGGACCGTAGTTGCTCAGTAGCGATTAAAATTGCTTGCTACGGGCTTCTGAGAAGAGGGGTGGATCATCTCAATCTGTTAACGTGAGTGGGGATTTTAACGACTTACTTTTTGATCATGGGCTACATGAGGTTCGCATTGATGGTTTCTGCTACACTTGGTTTCGAGGTGCGGTTGCCGAGAAACTTGATAGAGCTCTTGCAAATGAAGACTGGATGGACACCTTTGGGAGCGGTCTGGTCACCCACCTACCCCGACTCAAATCTGACCATACGCCTTTGTTGATTCACTGTGCTACAGATAGCCCTCATTTGAAAGGTCCGAAGCCTTTCCGGTTTCTTGCATCTTGGCTACTGCATGAGGATTTTGGTTGGCTTGTTACGGAAACATGGTCTGGCGCCCCGGCGTTTGTGGACGCGGCTGATCGCTTTTCGTCCCGGGCTAAGGAGTGGAATTATAATATCTTTGGGAACGTTTTTAAGCGTAAAAAGCGGTTGTTAGCCAGGATTTTGGGTGTCTAACAAGCTTTGCAACGTCGGGTCATTGCTCGTCTACGAGCACTTGAACGTGATTTGAGTGTGGAACTTGAACAGGTCTCGATCCAAGAAGAAGTTCTCTTGATTCAAAAGTCCCAGCGCATTTGGTCTCTGTTTGGCGATAAGAAAACTAAGTTCTTTCACCAGAAGATTAAAGCTCAAAGGAGGAGAAATAGAATTGTGGGGCTTCTTGATAATGATGGTATTTGGTGCTTGGATCAGTGTAAGTTACGTAGCCTGGCCGTGGATTTTTTTCGCCACATTTACTCAGTGGTGGACCAGCCTTCTCCACCCATCCACATCTCCAAGCGTTTCCCTTTTGTGGAGCCTGGCCGGTTCATGCCCTTGGCAAGAGAGGTCTCAGATTCTGAAATTACTTCTACTCTTAGGTCCATGCATCCTTTGAAATCCCCAGGGGTGGATGGACTTCACGCGATTTTTTTCCAACAGAAATGGGACATTGTGGGAGCGTCAGTCAGTCGTTTGGTCCATGATATTTTACATGAGGGTCTCATGAAACCCTTATTGTCTTGATCCCGAAAGTGGATAATCCTCAAACAATTAAATAGTTAAGGCCGATTAGTCTCCTGAATGTGGTGTACAAGTTGACCACTAAGATTCTGGCTAATAGAATAAAGCCTCTACTGCCGAGCATTGTCGGGCCCGCTCAAGTAAGCTTTGTTTCAGGTCGTCAAATCTCGGATAATATCGTTGTCGCTCAAGAACTGGTGCACTCGATGCGAACTATAGTGGGGCGTAAGGGATATTTTTTGGTGAAGGTCGATTTAGAGAAGGCCTACGATTATCTCCGGTGGGATTTTATCGAGGATACGCTCCGGCTAGCAGGCTTCCCAAAAATGTTCGTTCGTGGGGTCATGACATGTATAACTTCGGTGTCTATGCAACTTCAATTTAATGGTACTATCTCGGAAGAGTTTACTCCTTCCCGAGATGTACGACAAGGGGACTCTCTATCGCCGTATCTTTTCGTTCTGGCAATGGAGCGACTGGCTCATCTTATTCAACAGCGGGTTGAGCAAGGAGCGTGGCGCCCGATTTCGATTGGCCGTGGGGCAGTGCCAGTTCCTTACCTTATGTTCGCAGATGATCTTTTGTTGTTTCTGAAGGCTACTTCTGACCAGGTGGATGTTCTTAATGAGGTGTTAGCCGTCTTTTCACATAACTCAGGCTTGCGGGTCAGTGTGTCAAAGACGAACATTTTTTTTCTCGTCAAATGTGAATGAACAGGTCAAATCTCATTTGGCTCTTAGAACCGGGTTCGTGGGGGTTGATAACTTGGGAAAATATCTCGGTATGTCGGTAATTCATGCCCGGGTCACTAAGAGCACATATGCAGATATTGTGGAAAAGGTGTAACACCGACTTGATGGATGGAAATCTTCGTCACTTTCTTTGGCAGGTCGAGTCACATTAACCCAGGCAGTGGTGAGTAGCTTACCTTATTATTCCATGCAAACTGCGTGGATACCTTCTGCGATCTGTGATGGGTTGGAAAAATGCTGCCGTCGGTTTGTATGGGTAGCTCCCAATCTATACGGAAAGTTCACCTTATAAATTGGAGTTCTCTATGTGTGCCTAAGGAGGAGGGCAGACTTGGATTAAAAAACCAGAGACGCATGAACATGGCTCTTCTTATGAAACTCGGTTGGGGTTTGTTAAGTAAATCGGAGATGTTGTGGGTACGGGTCTTTTGTGCCAAGTATAAACTCCACCCGCGCGCGATGCCGGCTAATTATCCTTTCTCGACGGGCTCGGTTTTGCTGCGTGCAATAGCGAGGGTTTGGCCTCATGTAGTGAAGGGTACTCGATGGTACATAAGGGATAGGACTCGTATTTTATTTTGGTGGGATAACTGACTGAATTTTCCCAAGGCTTTAATCAACCGGGTTCAAGGGGTTATTCCAGAAGATCAATTATCGTGGTCTGTCTCTAATTATGTTACAGCGCTGGGCCAATGGGATTGGCAGCTTTTCTCCTCCCTCCTGTCTCCTTCGGATCTCCTTCTCATCTCCGGAATTTTACCTCCTCAGGCGGGCGCGGCCAAGATCGTTTGTTTTGGGGATGGTCTTCCAATGGGCTTTTTTGACCCGGTCTGCTTATGTATCTTTGTCTGCTGTGGAAACGGGCCCTAAGCCCCGGCTTTGGAAGGTGATTTGGCGTTGGGTTGGCCCTCAACGCATGAAGCAATTTTCATGGCTCGTGGCGAAAGATCGACTCTTGACTAATGGCGAGCGCCATCACCGACAAATGGTGGATAGCCCTTTATGCGAGTTATGCCAAACTTGCCCGGAGACGACACTTCACGCGCTAAGGAATCGTGAGATTCCATCTCTGTTTTGGAAAAAGCTTGTCCCTCGATCCTGTTTGCTGACTTTTTTCGACATGGAGCTGGGTATTTGGCTTGAAACTAATCTGTCCATGCATGTGAATATAACAGATGACTCCTGGGATGTTTCCTTTGGTGTTGGCTTGTGGAGGCTATGGAAAGGACGTAATAATCAGATTTTTAATGGCCTTGTGCCTTTGGTGGACAGGGAAATCAATGGCCTTCGACATAAGGTTAATTCGTTACAGAAAGCGTTGGTGAGTGGCTTGCGGCTTGGGCATCATAAGATCCGACGTTCGGAGTGCATGATTCGGTGGGAGTCTCCTATGCCAGGATGGATAAAATGTAACTCTAATGGAGGTTTTAATACTTCATCAGGCATGACGAGTGTAGGAGGCCTTTTTCAGGATCATAATGGTAGGTTTTTGGGTGGTTTTATCATGAATATTGGGTTTTGTTCAGTTATGGGCGCGGAACTTTGGGGTTATTGCAAGGTTTGCTTTTAGCCTTGGACTTGGGCCATCGTCGTGTCATTGTCGATATCGACAGTAGGGTGGTGGTGGATGTGGTGAACGGCCAGGCCGAAGTACATGGGGTGCATGGTAGTCTTGTTCGGGCCATACAAGAGATACGCACTCGCGACTGGAATGTGGAACTACGGCATGTCTATCGTGAATCAAACTTTTCGGCTGACTATCTAGCGTCGCTTGCAGCGACAGGCCCTGGTGGATTGGAACGCCTAGAATTCTCGCCGGTGGGATTGAAACCTTGGCTCGAGCACGATGTTGTGGGGGTCGCCTATCCTCGTAGGATAGTATCCTGAGTCTCCTCCCTCTTTCAGTACCAAAAAAAAAATCCCCCCTAATAATAGAATTTTATAACAATAATAAAATTATTTTAAATATTAATTAGAAAAATAAAATTATTTATCAACTAATAATAGTTATATGATATAAGTTATAAAAACTAATTAATATAACACATGTAAGTCATGACATCGACATCAATATAATTCTCTCATCGGAGAGGCGAATTCTCTCATCGGAGGTGATATTATCTTGTCGGAGATTTGATTCTCTACTCGGGAGGGCTTTTCAGTGCAAATAGCTTTCTCTTTGGTCATATTTTAGTTTCGACTCTGTGGTGGAGGGTGTCTTTCCAGTTAGGGTTCGGCAATGGCCGAAGATTTGGGGGAACAATTCCAAGCTCTGAAGCTATCACTCAAAGAAAGCAAGGATGTGGAATTGGATACAAATGATGTTAAGCTTAGTGATGAGGAATGCCGCAGAAGTGTTCTTGGGAAAATTATAGGCGATCGTAAAGCAAGCATTTTTTGGATCAAACGTATGATGAGCGTGGTATGGCAAACATCTATGGCATTTGACGTTAAAGAGGTTGAGGCAAATATCTTCCAATTTATCTTTGGCTGTAAAGAGGACAAGGAGAAGGTTTTAGCAGAAATCAACTGGGTCTTCGAAAACCAATATTTGGTGCTTCAAGACTGGAGAGAAGGCTTGTCATTCCAGGACCGGGCTTCAACGAAATATCTCTATGGGTACAAGTGCATAAGCTTCATCTGAACTGGCTAAGCATAGAAGTGGGTCGAAAAATTGGGAGGTTGTTCAAGAGGATAAAAAATGTAGTGGTGGTGAAATCAGGAGTGCTCAAGATAGTTATCTGAGAATGCTGGTTTCTCATGATATCTCAGATCCTATTCTCAGGTGTGCTCATATTAAACTCGGTGATCAACGATTGGGTGTGACATTCCTTTATGAGAAATTGGTGAGCTGCTGCTATTACTGTGGGATTGTGGGATATCTGGAGAGATCATGTGACGTCCGAGCTAAGGATATTGAAGAAGGAAAGCAACAGGTGGGTCAGTTTGGTGAATGGTTGAAAGCGATGGAGATAGGAAGAATGGGAGGGTCATCTCAGAACTCATCTCCTTCTCAAACTCATAGCAACTTGCACACTCAATGGAATCACTCCAACCCAGGTCAGATGAACTCAACAAATGCAGAGCAGGAAATGGGTAGATCCAATGGAGGGATACCTCTATCTAATCACCCCAATGACAATCTATCTGCAGCTTTGGTGGTTAGTTCTGAGATAAATACAGGTAATTTTCAACCTGTGATTCAAGGGGAAGATCATAACTTAAGCCTATGGGTGCAACCAGTAGTAGAGGAAAACAAGAGGATTGATGACAACAGAAAGAGATCAAGAGGCTATAGCACCAAACCCAATAGGAGTGGATCTTGTGATGAAACCTAACTCTTCTACATGGAAAAGGAAGAAGTCTGAATCAGGTAGACTTCAGAGAACCATGGAGACACCAATAGGGGCTGCAACACCTATTATTGGGAAAAGAAACAGACTTTTGATATCTCAGGCTATTGATCAAGAGGAAGAACATTCTAATTTGATGAAAAAGAGGACCAGAAAGAGTGAAGGATCTCAATCTCAACAGGTGGGGGTAGCCAGCCTTGAATGGCCCTAAAGTGAAAAATGAAGACAATCTTGTAGAACTGTAGAGGTCTGGGAGGACCCTCTACAGTCTCCCAGCTCAAGGATGCCATAAGGATCCACCTCCCAAACTTTGTTTTTTTTTTATCTGAAACTAGAAGAAATAAATTTTTACTGATACAGTATGCAAGAAGCTGGGCTTTGCTGATAGAAGCTACACAGTGGAACCGGTAGGGTTAAGTGATGGGTTACTTCTGTTGTGGTGTAAAGATGTGATCATTTCTCAAATTATCAATCTTCATTTCTGTCTTCAAGTGGAATACAAGCTCCCCACTTCGGATGTTAGTGAATGGCTTATTCTGGTTTATGCTAGTACTGATCCTCTTGTGAGAAGTCTTCAATGGCAAGAGATTGAGAGCAGTCAGCACAGGTGGGGGGACAAGTGGTGTATGGGAGGAGATTGGAATGATATCCGTGAAGAGTCTGATAAGAGGGGAGGGAGAGTTAGAGCCCAAAGGAGTTTTGAGGATTTCAATAATTTTATAGCAAGAATGGGTATGATGGAAGTGAAAATGGAAGGCTATCCATTCACTTGGTGTAACAACAGAAGGGATGAGGAATTCATAGAAGAGAAGCTGGATAGGGTTTTTGGCTCATTTTCATGGATGGCTGAAAATCATAAGGCAAAAGTCCATTCCTACTTTAAGAGCTCATCTGACCACTCGATGATTATTCTGGAGTCTGGTAATTCTAAATCACAGTTCTTTAAACGCTTTTGTTTTGATAAGAGATGGTTAGTTAAGCCAGGCTGTAAAGAAGAAGTTGAAAAGGCTTGGAATGGTGCAGTTAAGGGATCTCTGATGTTTATTGTTAAAGAGAAGATCAGGAAGACAAGGATGGCTCTTCTCAGATGGAATAAATGCTTTAAATCTGATAATGTCAAGAGGATTGCTGAGCTTTCTCTAAAATTAGAGGAGATGAGAGAGTTGGGTGGTCAGAGAAATTGACAAGAGTGGGAAAATATTAAGAGGGAGCTCGATGAATCAAATTTATATGAGGAGGAGTTTTGGAGACAAAAAGCTAGAATTCAGTGGCTCAAAGAGGGTGACAAAAACACTCGGTTCTTCCATGCCATTACTATGCACAAAAGGAAGAAAAATGCAATTTCCAGAGTTGTGGATATTCAGAGCAGGCCAGTAGTGGGGCAGAAGCAGATTGAGGAGTGTTTCATTAACTTCTACCAGCAACTCTTTACAACTGAAGGTTCTTGGGGGGAAGAAGAGATCTTACCACTTATTCCTACTGTCATCTCTGAGGCAGATATCTTGAAGTTGGTGGCTCCTGTTGATGAACCCGAGATTAAAGCCGCACTGTTCTCTATGAATCCAAATAAGGCTCCAGGAGAGGATGGTATGACCCCATTATTCTATCAGCACTTCTGGCCTCTTATTAAAGATGATGTGTGTGCAGCTATTTTAAAATTCTTTGAAATTGGGAGATTGTCTATAAGCTGGAATCACACTATCATTACTTTAATCCCTAAATGTGAAAACCCTGATTCTGTTACTCAATTTAGACCGATTAGCTTGTGCTCTGTCTCTTATAAGATCATTGCTAAAGTGATTGCTTCTAGATTAAAAGAATGTCTGAACCTCTGTATTAGTGCAACTCAATCTGCATTTATTTCTGAGAGGCAGTTGCTTGATAATGTGGTGATAGCCCATGAAGTCATTCACTATCTGAATAGACTTAGGTCTGGGAGTAAATGTTTTATGGCGGTTAAACTTGACATGATGAAGGCCTACGACCGAGTAGAATGGAATTGTTTGGCCAAAATAATGCTGAAAATGGGCTTCAAATCAACCTCTGTGCAATGGATTTTTGCTTGTGTCTCTTCATCTTTGTTCTCCTTCAATGTAAATGGAAATGTGACTGGCTTTATTACTCCTACTCGTGGAATAAGACAAGAAGATCCTCTTTCTCCTTATCTGTTCCTTCTGGTTTCTAAGGTGTTCTCTAAGCTGATAGGCAATGCTATTACTAGAGGTGAATTGTAGGGGCTGAGTCTAGTCAGAGGTGGCACTATTCTGTCACACCTTATGTTTGCAGATGATTCTCTCTTATTTTGCTCAGCTGATATTAAAATCTCTCAGAGCTTGCTTAGGATCTTGGCATCTTATCAAAATTTCACAGGGCAGAAAATCAATCTATCCAAATCTTCTGTTTTTTCAGCAGAAATGCCACTGATAATCTGAAAGCTAATGTATGTCAGTGTCTTCAGGGGATTGAGGTATGCTTTTCCTCCAGATATCTAGGCCTCCCTCTGGGAATTGGTAAATCTAAAAAAGAGATGTTTGAGTTTGTTACTTCTGCAGTGAAAAAGAAAATTGTAAGCTGGAAGAACAGGTTCCTGTCATTTGCTGGTAAAGAAGTCCTCTTTAATGCTGTTATATCTGCCTTACCTATCTTTGTTATGTCCTGTTTTTGCTTACCTGTTGGAGTGTGTAAGGAAATAGCACAATTGTATGCTGATTTCTGGTGGTCTTCTGGAAAGGATCATAAAAAAGGAATCCATTGGCTGTCTTGGAAAAAAAACTACTACTCCTAAGAGTGCTGGGGGATTAGGGTTTAAATATTTCAGAGTCTTCAATGACTTCTTAATTTTGAAGTAGATTTGGAGGTTGCTGACTAAACCTAATTCTTTGATGACAATAATCTTGAAGGAGAAATACTTTCCAGATGGATGTGTGCTTAATGCTAAATGCAAGGCCTCTGCCTCTTGGCTTTGGAATTCTTGGGCTAGAGTGTTGAGTATTCATAAGGACAGTTTCAGAATACAGATTAAGGATGGGGTCTCTACAAAAATTCTGTCTGATCCTTGGGTGTTGGGGCTTAAATCTGGAATTCCAGTGATCAATCCTAATGTTGACTGCCTGCAGGTGACTTGGGTGTGGGAACTTTTGTCTGATTCTGGGAGATCTTGGAATATTGATTTACTACAGCATCTCTTCACTCAGTCTTCTTGCAAAGCTATTTTGGCTCTGACTAATCTAAACCCAGAAGAGAGAGACAGATGGGTTTGGAGTCCAGATGTTAAGGGAAGATTCTCTGTAGCTTCTGCCTATGCAGTGGGAATTGATCAGAAGTTATTAAAGTTGGATGCTCCAAGTTGCAGCTATACTCTGACTGTGGATAAGAAAGCTAGGTTGAGATGTTGGTCTTTGAGGGTTAAGCCTAAACTGAGACATTTCCTTTGGAAATGTTTCACTAATAATCTTCCAGTGTGCCTGAATTTGGTTAAGAGGAAGTTGGGGGTTGATGCAATCTGCAGATGTTGTGTGATGCACTGGAATCAGTTGAGCATGTTCTTTTTGACTGCAGCAGAGCTCAGAAAGTGTGGAAAGCCTCTCCTGTTACCTGGGACTTCTATGATGTTGCTACAACAAACTTCAGAGGATGGTGGTGGCAGCTTTCAGAGTTAAAGTTATCATCCATTGTTGAAGCCAGAATTCAGCTGTCGACCTACATCTTGTGGTGGTTGTGGAAGTCCCGAAATTTATGGGTTTTTCAAAACACTTGGTTTCCTGAAGAGACTGTGGCTAGGCTTGCCCACAGAGAATGGACTGGGTACTGTTGAGTTTTCGGTTTTGATGTTCGTGTTGGCTTTTAGTTAGTTATTGTTTGCTTTTTTTCCCTTAGTAGGTCCTTTAATAAGGTCAGTGGCTGGGAGTTGTTCCTCTTTGTTTTTTTTTTTTTTTCCTGTGTCCTTTGTTTTTTGTTTGGTTGTACCTTTGGGTTTCTTGACTTAGGTTATGCCATGGGCACTTGTTTTGTTGTTTGGGCTAGGCCACCTTGTAGGAGTGGTTCTCATTCTGTTCTGTAAGGACTAGTATGTCCTCCGATTGTAAACGTTTCTTTTATTTATGAGATATCTAATCGTTTGGAAAAAAAAGTCATAAGTAACACATATTATTTTAAAATATATAGTAATATTTTTTTTTTTTGTAAAAAAATAAACTAAATTTAATATAGTTTTCTCATTAACTTTAAAATTTAAAAATATTTTTTTAATAACACCCGTGTAATACACGGGTGTTGTACTAGTATATATATATATATATATATATATATATATATATATATAAAGGTTGTAAATGTACAATAATGTTGTAAATGCTTAGTAAACTATGTAATTTTCTCTTTATAAAAAAACATGTCGTTTCTCATATTTTAGTTCCACCAACTAGCCCAACTTATAGATGACACGTCATTAGGAAGATCAAATTGGCCTATATGTATTTCATTACACCCTAAATTTATATGCTATATAAATCTAAAATGACATAAAATGACAAATTGCACATACAAAACTGTCAAATTGAATACGAACCAAAAGAATATAGAAGATATACCTTAAAATAAAATATTACATAAATGCATTTAATATATAACCACTTCAAAATAAATATTCCATATATTCACTTTACATATAATCACTTCTAGTCAATAGCACTTACAGTCTCTTAATATAACATCTCACCCAAAGAAACAATTGACATATCTTGTAATGGAATTGATTGCATCACCTCCAAACCAAAACAATGTCATATCTCACAACTACAACATAAGTACCAAAAAATAAGATTTTTAGATGACATTCATAGGTCTAACAGTAGATGATAACAAATATCTACAAAGCTTATGGAATCACTTTTTCAAAATTCACAATAATTGTATCTACAATAACACAAAATACAACTGCAGTTATGCATACGATATCATGATTTTCAGCATGGGAACTCCAATCT